CACGTCAATTGAATAAACAAAGTTAAGAGTTGCCTGCTATCTTATTATCACAATAACAAATCTTCATAATAGTTTTGAATCATCAGTTTTAAAACTTATATTATTCAGGAGGGAAGGCAAGTATATAATACATTTTATTTTAAAAATTAAAGTAATCCACAAGAGTAATCAATTTAACTCCGCGTTTGAAGGCTTAATCTTCAGCTATATGGAAAATTCAAATGTTCAGAAAGATACCTCCTTTCGCCAAGGATTCCAGAGAATAAAAGTTTACTTGACAATAATGTACAAGTCTCTTTTAGGGAACTAAATGCCTTACTTCCAAAATAATTTTTAAATTAACTTCTTCTCAAAAATTTTAATTTATATTTGTTATGCCACGTAAAAGAAGGGGAACTTACATAACTGTTTCTTATGTTCCTCTTTTGTTATCTGAGCCAATGGCAAAGAAAGTCGTAAGACACCCAAAGTTTTTCTTTGGTATACTCCTCCCTAACTCCCCAATTCTTGGAGAGCACTTTGAACCTGAGGTTCTGTGGCTGCTCAAGGCTTCTCCAGGTCACTGAACCTGACGACCTCTCATCCCTGACTCATTCTTCAAAACATAACCATCCTTAGTCATATTCCTTCCAGCACTCCACTGCAAATTGGGTTAATCTCATAAACTAACTCAAGCATACTTATGAATTAGTGATGACAGTAGCTTAATATGCTGCTGTTCTCAGAGAGATGAGCAAAACAATAGTAAATTTATAAAACTATAATACTATAAGAATAGGCAATCGTTTTCCTATTTATAGTCACTGACCAACTAAATCTAAAAAAAAATTAAGGGTTATAACAAAAAAAAAAAAAATCAAGGGTTATAACAAAAACAAACCAGCTTACATTTAACTTTAGTTCTTGAGTTTGAGAAAAAGAGGAAATGAAAGAATACAACTACTTGACACTTGTATACAGTTTGCATTCATATTTAGTGCCCCTATATAACACAACATATATATGTATATATTTTCATTTAGTTTAATATTTAAAACAATGCTGTAAGTTCATATTATTCCTATTTTATAGATGAGAAAGCTTAAGCTCAAAGCAGTTAAGTTACTGACTATGAAATAGCAGAGCTGGGACTCTAAGCAATTCTCATTCCGAGTCAAGTGTTTTTTTCACTATGCCACAGCTTCTACAAGTGTTCATAATACCTAATTTTAAATTAAATAAAAGAAACAGAAAAGTATATACATATAGTAAGACTATAATTTCACATATAGCTGGTTTTCAAAGGAAATGGGACCTAAGATGGAGAGGGAGAGTGAGCAAGCCAAGCAAGAGGAAAAAGAAAAAGGTTATGGGTCAGAAAATGTCAAAGGCAGAGATTGAATAAGGAAGGGAAAGAAAGAAAAAGACAGCTGTAACTGAAAGGATGAGCTGAAGTCCAGGCCCTTCCGCGTCCCCACTTGGTCTTGATTCTAGCCACAACTGGACTGCATGCCTCCTGGCTCTGCACCACTCCTCCTCTGCTTCAGCTGCTAAAAATCTTCCCTGGTCTAACTTGTGCAGAGAGCTGTGGGCTACTATTTCCACAGATCCCCAGAGCCCTGACCTGATCTTGTTCTAATCATGGTAATCACTGTCGTTAGTTTTCCTTCCACTTACTCAGTGAACAAAACGAAAAGCAATTCACTTTGCATATCTTCTCTATCTCTGAGAATGAATGGAGACCTAAGTACCTACCCAATAGGAACAAAATTGGTATTATGGTAGAAACAAAGCAACAAAGCCAAACCAGGACTTCTGTCACCTCAACAGTCAATGCCCGAACTCGCCTATGTATCCATTTCTCACTGAAAAATCACAACCTCTGAGTTACACAATAGATAATAAAATGACTACACATATTTACCACTTACATTTCTAAGCTTTTGTTTTACTTAGTCAATGTATTATTTAGGTAAATGAGGTATAATTACTTTCAAAAGGAGATAAACATATTACTAGCAATTAACACATTTCTTAAATCATTAGTCTAATGTGTTCATTAAAAGAACTGTCTGAATTTGAAGCTCTGAAGTGAGTGAGTGACTTTGGGCAAATTACTTAATATCTTTGAACTTTAGGTTCTTTATGTATAACATGGGGCTAATACTACAGTATTAAACGCAAAGATAGTTTTAAGAATTCAGTGAGCTAAATGCTTGAAACTGTACCTGGCATATAGCAAGCATTCAACAAATGTCATTTCTTATTATTACTTCTATTAGCCATTAGTTTTGCTACCTAGCAGCATAAAACTTAACTATAGTTTGGCTTTTTGCTTTTGTAAAAAATAGATTAATTGTAGACGTTTTAGAGAAAACTTTAAAAAATAACATATGGAAAGCAATAATGAAAAGTAAAAGTCGAAATAGTGATAGATATATGTTACAATTGAAAAGCACCACTGGCATCCTTTTACAGCCGGTTTACCTCAAAGTCTATCAGCTGCAAGTCAGCTATCAGTGTCACCAGCAGGCCACTATTGTAGAGTTCTTGTGCTAGCTGAGCCACTGCTTCTGTTGGGGGTTCTTTTTCATTTGTACCACACAGAATTTCTTTCATTGCTTGCAGTGATTTCGACACTTCTTCTGAAGCCTAGTGACCAAAAAGTATGCTAACAGTTAAAAGAATCAAAATCAAAATTTTTAGGCTATAAACAAACAAACGAATAATCCAAAAAACCACTTCTTGGTCTTGGGCTCTGTTTATTTATAATTGATGGTACACTTACAAACAAACAAAAACAGTAAGCACTGCCTTTTTCATTTTGGAAAATATTATAAATAGTATAAAATTTATTTATATAAAAAAGCTCTCTGGTATTTCTACTTAGTCAACATACATTAAATAATCTTTTTTTTTTTTTTTTTAGATGGAGTCTTGCTCTGTTGCCCAGTCTGGAGTGCAGTGGCACAATCTCGGCTCACTGCAAGCTCCACCTCCTGGGTTCACACCATTCTCCTGCCTCAGCCTCCCAAGTAGCTGGGACTACAGGCGCCCACCCCCACGCCCAGCTAATTTTTGTATTTTTAGTAGAGATGGGGTTTCACCGCGTTAGCCAGGATGGCCTCGATCTCCTGACCTCGTAATTTGCCCACCTCAGCCTTCCAAAGTGCTGGGATTACAGGCATAAGCCATCGCATCCATCCCAATAATCTTTTAAACCACACTCATTGTCTAATTTTGCTAGCAATTCAACATAAACTTTATTCTTGAAAATTAAATTGATTCCATTTTGAAGACTTATCAGTAGCTGCTAATCTTTATTTAAAGCATTGTGTTAAGGTTTTTCAACAAATTCCTATTCTTTTGATTTTTGAATGGTCCAAGTATACAATTGTAAATTGTCAAAACTCATAAGCTTTCTTTGTCAATTCATTTATTCCTCATACAGAATCACTGTCTTTTTTGCTATCTATGAAACTTAAAAAAAAGCCTCACTATATTTTAAAGACTACTAGGCAAATCCATAGAGGCAGAAAGTACATAGACTCGTGGGTATTAGGGCCTGGGGGAGAGGGAAATAAGCAATGAACTACTAATGGCTCCAGGGTTTCTTTTGCGGGTGATGAAAATGTTCTAGAATTAGATAGTGGTGATGGTTGCAAAACCTTGTGAATGTACTAAAAACCAATGAATTGTACACTTTAAATAGTGAATTATATGGTATGTTAATTATATCTCAATTTTAAAATCTTTTAAATTAATATAGGTAGGAAAGGAGAGCAGACTAATTTAGTTAATAATTTGTATGAATATTTTAAAAGAAATATACTTTTATTACTTTTAAGTATAATACTGTAATCATTATAAATGAAGAAGGAAATGAGTAGAATAAGGCAAATTACATAAAAATAACTCATGGTAGCATTATGCTACTTTTATTATTTATTTATTTTTATTTGTCTCTAGCTCTGCTTCTTGGGTGACACTACTTTTATTTATTTATTTATTTTTGAGATGGAGTTTTGCTCTTGTCACCCAGGTTGCAGTGCAACGGCATGATCTCAACTCACTGCAACCTCTGCCTCCTGGGTTCAAGCGATTCTCCAGCCTCATACTCCCTAGTAGCTGGGATTACAGGCACCCGCCACCGTGCCTGGCTAATTTTGACACTACTTTTAAAAAGTAATTTTTCATATCCTTAATAGCCTGACTGAAGCAATCCTTAATGTACTAGACCGGAAGCATCTTAAATTGTGAGATATGGCCACAGAAGAGTGCTGTAAACATACACAGAGAGTATGTTTAAGAGAGAGTTAAGAATAATCATAAAGCAGACATCTTTAGGACCATCACCCAGTCAAGAACATTTTCAGCACCCAGGAGTCACCTGAAGGCTCCTTTCAGTTCAGATGTAAATACTTTTATATCTCTTGTGACAAACATGTCTTTACATTTCTTATTATTCCTATTTTATAGATGAGAAAACTTAGGCTGAAACAATATAGCTTAGTTCCACTGATTTTCAACTTTATGGACCAGTACATTACCCTTTCATGATTTGCTTCTTTCATTCAACATTATATTTGAGAAATTCATCTATGCTGTTGCATGTAGGCAGAAGTTCTTTAATTTTTATCACTTTCCAATGTTCCGCACTAATGCCTATACCACAACTTTGTTATTGGTTCTACTGTTCATGGACATTGGGTTGTTTCCATTGAGGGGTTTTTATTAACAACAATGCTATGAACATTCTTGTACCTTTTTCCTGGCACAGATGTGCAAGAATACCTCTAGAGTTTACAACTGGGAGTGGCACTGCAGGATTTTAGTACATGCATATCTTCATATTTCACAGATAATAATAAACTGGTTTTCAAAGCAGTTACATAAATGTATACGTCATCATCCACAGTTAATGAAAAGTCCTCATTGCTCTCCATCCTTGTCAGCACTTAACATCATCACATCTTTTCATTTTTGCCAAGGCAGTAGTTGCATAATGTGAATTTATTGTGGTTTTAGTTGGCCTTTTCCTAGTTACTAATGAAAATGTGTAAAAGGGTTTTTTTTTTCTTTTTTTTCTCTTTACCATTTAGATTTATACTTGCAAAAAAGGCCATTTTTCTTCTATTTGGGCCAAGATTTGGTTCAATATTACAAAGTGTACTAGAATTGGAATAAGCTATTTCTGCACTCCTTGTAGAATTTAAAATTGTATCATTTACTGGAATAGAAGGATACTATGAACTTGTGTATTTCTTTTATAGATATCTTGAATCTTGCCATAAACTAGTCACTTTATAGAGAAATCGGATATATAGGATTCAATATCCCTTTGAAGGAATAACTAACATTCCTGTGAGGAAGCCCCATTGAATAAGACCTTAAAACCATATGAAAATGAGATTCACCGTAACAGACACCATCAGTCAATCTTTAAATAAAAACTTTTTATCTTTCATGTAAATGTAACATTACACACCAGTATAACCTTTTAGATCTTTAAGCTATGTAGTCTAGCGGGATCCAGTGTTGGTCAGAGTCTCTAGAGAATGAACCTAAAGTTCATCCCAACAGACTAAATAATAATCTGTTTCATAAAACCTGAAATCAACTTCAATCTATTTATAGAGGCTCTATGTTCACATCACAAACCATATTTTGAATTCTTCATTAAGCTTTTACATTGGTTTTTGGCATTGCATGTACTTTCATCATAATGTTACTGTTTTAGCTCATACCTTGTCTGTCTTTTTGTCTTGCTTTTCCAAAATGGCCAAATTGTCTTTCAGGATTTTCACAATTTCTGCTGGATTTTTGTGTGATTTGCTAAACAAGGGCATTTTTTTCACGTGTAGAAAGCTCTTCTTCCAATATGGAATGCTAAAAACAAATAAGCCAACAAAAATTGTAACTTTAACTCTTAATATGCTTAAATTTTTATACCAATATGTCTTATACACTTTCAATAACATGAATTCAGTAATCTGAAATGTTAAAAGTGATCAAATTAAAATGAGTTTCAAGCTTTACGCCAAATTTAAATAAATATAAGATATTTTTAAAACGATATTTTTAAAGTTTTGCTTGAAAGTTTTTATACAAAGTTTAAAATCTTTCCTGCAATAGAAACATAAGGATTATACAAGAAATAATTTTAGAGTCCAAGTTGATATGTAAAACTAGATATTTTGACCAAAGAAAGTGATAATAAATATATTCTATAATGTTTAGCTATATGTATTCTGTAATGCTTAGTTGCTATTATTACAAGAAGTTCCATGACATAGTGAATGAATTATTTCACTAAAGAGAAAGGCACAGTAGTTTAGATATGACTCTATCTTAAATGTCCTAGACATTTCTGACTCTTTGAGTCAATTATACTTTTTTCCATTATTTTAAAAAATATACACTTATTCTCTGAATGCATAATAATCAATGATCAAATATTCTGCATTAAAGTAGAATTTTAAAAAGAAGCCAAATGCATTCATGTATAGACATACCTAGGAGATACTGTAGGTTCAGTTCCAGACCATTGCAATAAACCAAATTTTCAATAAAGCCAGTGTATTTGGTTTTTCCTAGCACATATAAAAGTTATATTTATGCTATACTGCAGTCTATTAAGTTTGCAATAGTATTATATCTAAGAAAACAATATGTATAACTTAATTTATAAAAATATTTATTGCCTGACCCTTCAGTGAGTCCTAATCTTTTTGCTGGTTGGAGTCTTGTATTAATGTTGATGGCTGCTGACTGATCAGGGTGTTGGTTGCTGAAGGCTGGAGTAGCTGTGGCGATTTCTTTTTTTTTTCTTTTTTTGTCATTAAGAAGTCTTTATTGGGTTATAGTCACTTTGACCCTCCCACCAAATTAAGGGGGAAAAAACAAAAAACAAAAATAAGAAATCCCAGTAAAAGAGTCCTCAAGATTTCATAAACTACAAATTAAAGCTGCTAGTTAATAAGGAAATGGCAGAATTTTCAGAGCTGTATAATATAAAAGTTCCTGTAATTTAAGCAGATGTTTTCCTCAATGACAAATCTTCCAACACAATGTGAAGTTATGCTACTCAGATATTTGTAGCAAAACTGGGTTTCTTTTGGTACAAAAACAAGAGCAAGGGACCATGAAAAAAAAATTTTTTTGTTCCTCATGGCCTATGAGTATACAAATTTTCTAGCAGTTTAAAAGGGTAACTATGAGAGCCTGACATTTTTCTATACCCCACCTATTCTGTCTCTCTATTTGTAGGATTTGTAAATGAAAGTAACATCTTACGAGCAGAGGTCTCATCTATCTCTCTCTCTCTCCAACTAATCCTACTAATTTTCTCTCATCTTCCTGAGCATCCTCCATGAACAGCATTGCAAGTTGGTTTCAAAAATAGAAAAGAAAGAAAGTTTTACAAGGGTTTTGTTGGTTAATTACCAGTGGAGTCAGTCCACCAGTAGTTTGATTTCATTGGCTAGCAGCTGGTTCATGTTGAACAGGCCGCCTGGGAGCTTGGTGAGCAGCTCTCCCTCCGCTCCGCTCCGTGCTTTCAGGGTCGCTGTCAACCGAGCTGGAACTTGCACTCATGTTGTCAACAGCAGTACTGGCTGGGGGACCCAGCTCACTAGTCTCACTGGCAGTGGACACCACAGAGAGCAGGGACATACGCCGGGTGAGCCGGCCAGAGGATAGAAGGGAGGCAGCATAGTCTGCTATGATACCAGCTACATCTAGACCTATGATACGCCTTATCAAAGGCGATGAAACCTACATTTGCATTGGCCTCACAGACGCAGAAGGAGCCGTCATCTTTCATCAACAGGTCAATGCCACACACATCCATCCCCAGGATATTAGACACCTGGATAGCTAGCTGCTTCCCTTGTTCAATCAATGAGCACATCATCCCCACACCACCTAATGAGCAGTTGCTTTGCATTCTCCCATCTGTTGAACAACGTAACATGGTGCCAACCACACGGCCTCCCACGACAATGACACGTACATCCCGTCCATGAGACTCTTTAACATACTTCTGGAACAGGTATGGTGCTTCATGGTGAATAAGATGGCTTAGATCAGCCAAATGGTGCTTATCTTGAGCCAAGAAAACAGCTTTACCTCTATGACCCCGCGTATTCTTTACTACCATTGGAAACTCCAGTACTTCTGCTTCATCAATCATGTTAGCAAAATTTTCATGGCCACCATAAGAGAAAGTATCTAGCAGAGGAACACCATGGCCAGCTAACTCTTGAAATGTCCAGAACTTATTAATGCAGTTCAGGATGGCTTGAGGTCGGTTCATTAACCGGTATCCCATCTTCTCTAGATGGCGCAAAACAGTGATGTCACTATCACTTTGCACCCAAGGGGTTGGTACTCTACCACCACTTGTGGGTAGGCAGTGATTAGCTCTCCATTGATCCGCAGACCCAGGTTTCCTTGCTCGATTGTCAGCACCACCTCATCCATCACCACAGCCCTAAAGTCCAGTTCCTCCTCACAACATTTGGCCTTCAGTGCTCGTAAAATCTCTTTTTGAGGATCGTCTTCCCTGACGCGACGATCTGTCAAAAACTACAACTTGGCAGCGACAGAACTACACATCTTGATTAGCTTGTGCTTCCTTGCCTGGATTATTTCCTCTTGGATGTAATGTCTGCTGCACGTGCGTGCACACCGGTGATTTCTTAAAAGAAGACAATACAGTTTGCTACTTTGACTCTTTCTTTCATGAAAGATTTCTCTATAGCATGTGATGCAGTTTGTTAGCATTTTACTCCCAGTAGAACTGCTTTCAAAATTGAAGTCAGTCCTCTCGAACCCTGCCACTGCTTTATCAGCTAAATTTATGTAATACTCTAAATCCTTTGTTGTCATTTCATCTTCAGCAGGAGTAGATTCCATCTTAAGAAACCACTTTCTTTGCTCATCCATAGAAGCAACATTCCTCACCTGTTCAAGTTTTATCATGAGATTGCAGCAATTCAGTCACATCTTGAGGCTCTATTATTAATTCTTGTTCCCTTGTTATTTCCACCACAGTGGGGGTTACTTCCTCCACTGAAGTCTTGAACCCCTCAAAGTCATCCGTGAGAGTTAGAATCAACTTCTTCTGAACTCCTGAAAAATGCTGATGTTTTGCCCTCCTCCCATGAATCACAAATGTTAATGGCATCTAGAATGGTGAATCTTTTACAGTAGGTTTTTCTATTTAGTTTGCCCAGATCCATTAGAGGAATCACTCACTATGGCAGCTTGCATCTTATGAAATATATTTCTTTCATTTTTTAAACTTGTATTAGAACAATATGAACATATGAAATGTATTTATTTAACAAGTTTGGAAAGTCAAAATTACTCTTTTGTCCATGGGCTGCAGAATGGATGTCAACAGGCATGAAAACAACATTAAGCTCCTTGTAAACCTCCATCAGAGCTCTTGGATGATGAGGTGCATTGTCAATAAGCAGTAATATTTTCAAAGGAATCTTTTATTCTGAGCAGTGGGTCTCAACAGAAGGCTTAAAATATTCAGTAAACCATGCTGTCATCTAGGCTTTGTTGTTCCATTTATAGAGCACAGGCCAAATAGTTTTAGCATAATTCTTAAAAGCTTTAGGGTTTTTGGAATGGGAAATGAGTATTAGCTTCTACTTCAAGTTACCAGCTGCATTAGCTCCTAAGTAGAGAGTCAGCTTGTCCTTTAAAGCCAGGCACTCACTCCTCATTTCTAGCTATGAAAATCCTAGATGGCATCTTCTTCCAATACAAGGGTGTTCCATCTACACTGAAAATCTGTTGTTTTGTGTGGCCACCCTCACCAATGATCTCAGCTAGATCTTCTGGATAACTTGCTGCAGCTTCTATAAACAGCACTTGCTGCTTTCCCCTGCAATTTTATGTTCTGGAGATGGCTTCTTTCTTTAAACCTCATGGAGCAACCTCTTTTAGCTTCAGACTTTTCTTCTGCATCTTCCTTTCCTCTCTCAGCCTTCATAGAACTGAAGAGAGTTGGGGCCTTGCTCTGGACTAGGCTTAAGGGAATGTCTGTCTGGTTTGATCTTCTATCCAGACCACTGAAACTTTCTTCGTATTAACAATTAGCTGTTTTGTTTTCTTATTATTTGTGTTTTCACTGGAGTAGCACTTTTCATTTTCTTCAAGAACTTTTCCTTTGCATCCACAACTTGGCTAACTTACTGATGCAAAAGGCCTAGCTTTCAGCCTACCTCAGCTCTGGATATGCCTTCCTCACTAAGACTAATCATTTCCACCTTTTGATTTAAAGTGAGAGATATGTGATTCTTCCTTTTCCTTGAACACTTAGAGGCCACTTAAAGGGTTATGAGCTGGCCTAATTTCAGTATTGTTGTATCTCAGGGAACAGGGAGGACTGAGGAAAGGGAGACAGGGGAACGGCCAGTCAATGGGGCAGTCAGAACACATGCAACATTTATCGATTATGGGCACAGTTTGTGGTGTCCCAAAACAATTACAATAGTACCATCAGAGATCGCTGATCACAGACCACCATAACATATGTACTAACAATGAAAGAGTTTGAAATATTGTGAGAATTAACAAAATGTATCAAGAGATATAAAGTGAGCACATGCTGTTGAAAAAAAATGGTGCCAATAGACTTCCTTAATGCAGGGTTGCCATAAACCTTCAATTTTTCAAAAACAGTGTCTTCAAAGCACAATAAAGGTGTAACACAATAAAATAAGACATGCCTGTAATTGCTCTCTTTCTCCCTGTAGTTCTACAGCACTAAGGGAAAGATATATAACTGTAGGAATTTTAAATACTCCCTGACACCAAAACAGAGTACAAATTTTTCTTTTTTTTTTTTTT